CGCCATTCGAAAAAGGGAAGTGAAGTGGTTTGGGCACGTTCTCCTTCGTCCGACCCACGAGCTTTGAAACGCTGCCCTCAATCCGGTGCCACAGCCTACCCGAAGGCGTCAAAGAGGAGGGCAACTGAAAACTTGGCTCGAAACCGTCCGCCAAGATATAGAAGCATTTCTTGGATCTTTTATCTTCGGTCTTCGCCGTTGGAGAAGAGACTGGGTGGAGCTTTCCAGATCCGATGCGCCAATCGACACGCGTGGTGTACCATCCGTGACATCATTGAGGCTGGCTAGATCAGGCATGCTCACTGCCGTAACAAGTAAAACATTCATCTATCCCGTACGATTGTAGAACCGTAAATGAATGCTGAAAGAAATTCACTGCGAAAACGCGCAGGACATTCGACGAGGACCTGCAGGCGAACCCTAATGTCGCGATGACATGACACCAGGTTATTCAAATATGACAGTTAATATTACTTAATATTCTCCGCGATTTCGCGACTAGGGGCTAGTATGCGAACACTGGGTGCAGCAAGATATGAAGTCACTACACCAACGCGCTTGCATACGAGGAGAAAGTGAAGTCAGTATAAGCGGTTTAATACGGAGCCCAACAAAAGAATTACATTACTAAAATAACATGGTACAGAATCCATCTAGGAAAATAGATGGATAGTGGTCGAAAAAGTAGCCAAAGCCTACAATAGGTCACAAAACCACCTCGAAATGTCAATTTCCAGACGACATCGAAATGCTATTAGTAGGATAAAAAGTTGGTTAATCTAGTGAGTAAACGCGTATACTCACTCATGAGTATATAACGATGAAACTCATAGTAAGAGACGACATTTAATGGAAAGCGCAGGCGACTGCGAAACGTTTACTGCTCTACTCACTTTGAAATGAATGAAGTCCAATTCACATTCGCAAGTCAGGGGTCTATGCATGTCATATGGCATACCGTTAACAAGAGCAAGAACACTACGGTCCCGCAAAAGCTGTGAAAGGTGTTTAGCGCAGTCATATGGCGTCGAGACACCTTTCGCCATGCTAAGAACAGCATCAGACTTTGGAAAACCAGTGAAAGCAACATCGATTCGTTGGACATTTGGTGTTGTGGACGACCGCATCTCTTCATTTTTTAATTCTGACCACTTTTTAGATTGCTTTAAGACATAAGACGGATAGTCTTTCAATGCTGCAGCATTTGCCAACCGTGTAACATCAATCAAATTGTGACTGAATGAACGATGGA